ATTCTGTTATAAATTAATTGACCAAATAAGCATGGGTTGACTTCTGGGCTATTTTGTCCCTTTGATCTGTATGTCTGTTTCTAGGCAATACCATAAGGGTTTGATGACTACAACTCTGTCATATAGTTTGACATCAGGGAGCACAATGCCTCCAGCTTCTTTCTCAAGACTGCTTTGGCTGTTTGAGGTCTTCTCTGCTTCCATACAGACTCTAGGACTGTTTATTCTACTTCTGTGAAAAATGCCATTGAAATTTTTTTTATAATATAAAGATACTTCCAAGACAGCACAATAACAAACTCACAGTCCATAGGAAAGCAGAAAAAAGGATATAACTAACAGCTGAAAACACCCTCAACCTGTCTGGCACTCTGGAATTTAGAACAGGTAGAAGCTGGGTAAAACCAGAAGCAGGGAGCTCTGACCAGAAGGGAGGACACTCTCCAGCCATTCAAAACCCTTTCAACTACCAACATCAGAGCCCCTCATTCCCCTGACCATTCCAAGTTCTTCCATAGCAACTGAATTCCTTGCTTCTGCATTCCTCTGTCCTTCCTGTAAATACCACATCACCTTGCTCTAGCTCTAGCAAGCACGCCACATCTGCCACCACACACGCGGTTGCCTGAGGGCAGAGCAGGTAGATGTGGCAGTGGGATATAATCATTAACAGCACACTCTACAGCCCGCGAGGTCAGGGTTCAAATCCCAAGTTCACCACTAATTCTGTGACCTTGAGAAAACTGCTTTATGGCCTGGGACCTCAGTTTCCTGATGCATAAAACAGGACTAAAAGTTCCTATGTCACAGAGTTTAGAAAAGTAATTTGGAGGGGGTGCCTGGGTGTCTCAGTTGGTTAAAATGTCTGACTCTTGATTTTGGCTCAGGTCATGATCTCAGTGTCCTGGGATGGAGCCCCACACTGGGCTCAGCAGGGAGTCTGCCTGGATTCTCTCTCTCCCTCTACCCCTTCCCCCTGCTCACACTCATTCTCTCCCCACCAAAAAAAGTAAATAAAGCTGAAAGAAAGAGGAAGGAAGGAAACGAAAGAAAGAAAGGGGGCACCTGGGTGGCTCAGTGAGTTAAGACTCTGCCTTTGGCCTCAGGTCATGATCTCAGAGTCCTGGGATGGAGCCCCGCATCGGGCTCTCTGCTCAGCGGGGAGCCTGCTTCCCCTTCTCTCTCTGCCTGCCTCTCTGCCTACCTGTGATCTCTCTAACAAATAAATAAATCTTAAAAAAAAAAAAAAAAGAGAGAAAAAGAAAGAGAGAGAGAGAAAGAAAAGTAATTTAGGTAATGTGTACCATGCATAGTGCTTGGCATCTAGTAACCTCTTTTAACTACATTTGTTATTTTAATACCCTTCTCAGCACTGTCCATAGTGCCAAGCACCGAGCACCAAGTGGGGCTCAATAAATTCTCACTATCAGATGTTTATTCATTGCCTGTCAAGCTGCCCACCCCAAGCTTTTAGATACCTGTGAAATAAAGCTGTATAAGACACATATTCCACTCTCATGAATTCTCCTTCCTATTTGTGTCTCCAGCATCCCACCCAGTGCCTGGCATATAGTTGATACCCAAAGTGTATGTGGAACCAAACTTCTGAGTTTAAAACCTACTGTGTGTTCCTATGAGTTTGAAAAGAAACAAAAATGTAACCATAAAAACAAAGTATGAAAAAGCATGTGACTTCAATTTTTTTTTTAATTCTTGAAAACAGCAAGAACACATTATGTATATTTAACCTGTGTTTTTCAATCAACTGAAAACTTTCAAACATAGTTTTCACACATATTTGTGGAATGCATTAAAATTCCCACCTTGTGGGACGCCTGGGTGGCTCAGTCGGTTAAGTGTCAGCCTCCAGCTCAGGTCATCGGCTCGGGATCCTGGGGATTGAGCCCCAAATCGGGCTCCCTGCTCAGTGGGGAGCCTGCTTCTCTTTCCCTCTATTCCTGCTCCTGCTCTCTCACATAACTAAAATCTTTTTTAAAAATCTTAAATTCCCACCGTGTAGACAATTAAATTTAGGATCAGAGGGATAACGTGAGTTGTGCCTCATTACAAACACAAGGGGCTTTAGTGACTAGACATTAGAACAGCTTCTATTTCAAAAACCTAGTTGTTGACCTGGCTAACAGGGGGCAGTTGTCATTCGCCTGCCCGCAAACTTCCATTCATTCTAAGAGGAAAGTGAGGTCCGAGGGATATATAAAAAGTCAGCTTTTGTGTCAGAAAGGCCCCCAAATTACAAGTCACCTCCGAGTGAAGGGAGGAGAGAAAAGCAATCGCACCACTTTTGGAGGCACAGAAACACAAGCAACCTCACCTTGGGCGCCGGTATCCAGGGCCGGCTTCTAGCTGACAGACAGAGACAGAAACTTTGTGACTGCCTCACTGTGCTTTTTCTGGATAAAAATAGATATCAGATCCCACCTTCACCATCACAAAAGAGCCTCAAGGATAAAGTCCTAAAGTGAAAATAAAGGCATCTAAAACACTCTTCACGGTAACTTCCACAAAAAGCCATTTACGCAGGCTCCACTGTGAAGGTTTATCACGAAGTGAGGCTGATACAGGAAAACATCAGCACTTGGATAAAAGGTAAAAGACAATTTAGCACTAGTGGCTCCTAAAATTGAAAAGATATCTCATTAAACTAAGCCTCTGTAAAAAAAAAAAAAAAAGAGAGAGAGAGAAAGAAAGAAAAGGAAAGAAAGAAAGTCAGAAAAGGCAAACCTAGCAGGAAAAACATATTCTTATTTCTGAGCAAAAGTGAGAAAAAAAGAGAAATTAGTTGGGTTCCTCACTTTAAAAATTTATAGTCACACCCCTGGGGGGAAAAAAATATATATATATATGTTTATAAAAAATAAAATTAAAAAAAAAAATTTATAGTCACTTGATGATTTCTAGATCACATTCATCAGAAACCAACTGAGATAGAGCTATGCATTCTATCTCCTTTCTACTCATTTCCATATAAACGTCGAAGCACTGACCCAGCTACTCTGAGTTGAGGGGAACTGGGATTAAGATTAATAAAACCGCCTCTCTGCCATCAAGAACACGGAATCTACTGTGACACCACGCCAGAAACCTTTGGGACTATTGGCACATCCCACCACCTCCCTTCCCTGGGAAGTGACATCCCGACCCTGACCCACATACATCCCAAGTCAAGCCTTATTCATAAAACTTGACTTCCACCCACCTGGCATGCTTGACCTATGAAAGGACAATAAGAGTCCTTTCCAAGGAATTTGGAGATGAACGAAATAAGCAGACAGTCTCTTTATGGCCAGAGCTCTACAGACCATGCACACCTGGACGGTGGAGGCCCATGTCATACTCTACAGTCTGTGGAGCAGAGAAGAGAATCAAACAGTTGCATTCTCTGCTGAAGAAGGAGTAGCATGGGCTCCTGGCAGCTCTCTGTCCAGGCAGACCATTTTGAAGCCTGCCTGCCTGCCTCACAACCCTTGTACCCTTACAGTAATGAGCCTAAAGTAGTTTCTGTTATTTGCAACCAAAGAGTAGTAATAACTACAGAGGGAGTAAGACCACAACATAAATGCATCTAATACAGAGGATGGTGCTAAGGAGGCAAACATTCTGCTTTGTTTATCGGAACATATCTTGCACAATAAAGGGGCAAGGAGCAAGACTTGTTGCAAAAGATGGGAATGTGAGTCCAGACTCCACCCTTTGCTAGTCCCATGACCTTGGGTAAATCCATTTAGCCTATGCTTACCACAGTGCCTAACACAAAGCAGGTGCTCAGCATGTATATGTTAGAAAAAGGACGGCAGACTAGCAGCCACCCACATTTTAGGTACACTTATGCCTCCTAGACATTTCTCTTCAACACAATGGGACTAATAGTGTCTACTTTATGCATCTCACAGGATCAGAATATATACAACCAGTGATAGGTTCAGATTGATGGACAGGTCGAACATAGACCCACCTGAATTAATCAAAGAATATTTATACATTTTAAGTGGGGGTTGGCAAACTGTGGAGCCCACAGGCCAAATCCAATCCACCGCCTGTGTTTGTATGGTCCACAAGAATGGTTTTTACAAATGAACACTTGCAATTTGATGGTAGGAAACACTAACTTTGAGTCACAATTTACCTAACTGTTATGTTCCCCCAAAACAGAATTCCATTTTTCTGACTAGAAAAACTGTACTACAGGGGCACCTGGGTAGCTCAGTGGGTTAAGCCTCTGCCTTCGGCTCAGGTCATGATTTCAGGGTCCTGGGATCGAGCCCCACATCAGGTTCCCTGCTCAGCATGGAGCCTGTTTCCCCCTCTCTCTCTGCCTGCCCCTCTGCCTCCTTGTGATCTCTCTCTTTCTGTCAAATAAATAAATAAAATCTTAAAAAAAAAAAAAGATGTAAAAATAGAATAGTACTACTTAAAACACAGTATAGACCTTAGAACTGTAAGGGAGCCTCTGAATCACCTTCATGGAAGCCTAAGCTCCCACAAGCATGGAGTCTGAAAACCACAAGAATTGACCACCAGGAGCCTGTAAAAAGAATTACTTCAAGGGTTTGTGGGGATTAAATTAGATGAAAAATTAAAAATCCTTTTTACAGCAAGTGGTATATAGTAAGTGCTCAATAAATATTAAGTATTATCTCTTTTTAGGAAATAGTTGTCACCATACTGTATATAGTGAAAATATAATTGTTTGTTCTGATTATATCTCTTATTTAGACTCAAAGTATTTTCCATATAATTACATAATCTTCACTGGGATATTTTTTAATTTAATGGGTCAAAAATAGCACTTAAGGTTTACTGTGATTTGGATTTAGGTAACCAATAGCAAACATAATTATTTCTGCATCTATTTATTTTTATTAACTGTATTGTTTTTCTCATGACATATGCTCATGAGCCTAATTCAATAACCCAATGGGTTATTGGGTTATCCGTGGTTTCTTAAAACGAAAGTTGTTTCAAAGCAGAAACAAGCTTACCTTCTGGGCACCCTGTCTTAAGAATGTGCTGGCGAAAGTTTCCAGAATGCAGTTGAGAAAGCCAGCCCCTGTAATTGAAATCCTGCCTCTCTGAATAAACTCCGTCCTGTAAAAAAAAAAAAAAAACAAAGTGCATCTTTAATGTCATTCTATGTTTGGATATTTAAACTACAGAGATTGCCAACAGCATAATTATCACTTTTGATCAGCACAAAACAATGTCCATAATAATTCAATAATTGCCTATTACAACAAAATTTTTGTTAAAAAGAGACTTATAGCTTATATATACAATTATTTTATTCAAATTAAAGGTTATTTTTTCATATCGTTAAAGAGTAAATTTTTTTACTCAAAATATTTTTAACTATGAGAGGTGATGAATGTGTTAACTGACCTTATTACAGTAAACATTTTGTAATATAAATTTTCATAATATAAATATACAAAATTATGTTGTATATGTTAAACTTACACTATATGTCAGTTATAGCTCAATAAAGCTCAGGGAAAAAAGAAAACATATAGCTGCATTATTCTAATTATAGCAACTGCAGAATATAGGATTTTGAGTCATACCTACGACATAATCCCATGATAAAATTATGATAGTTGATGTCTGTACTCTATCTTTAAAATGTTACTCTACTTGACCCACAACAAACTTAACTAATTCCCAATTATATATATAATTATGAATATTATATTCATTCATGTACAAAATGGCTCTTAAAATTGAATCTGAGATAATTAACGGATGTGTAACTTTGATTAGATTACTAAAACTCTCTTAACTCAGTCTCCTCATGTACAAAATGAGAATAACCATAGTATCATCCTTTCATAACTACTGTGAGAAATAAATCAATTAATACACATAATGGGAACATGAAGTGTTCCTGAGAAACAATGAGTATTTACTAAATGTTAGCCACTATTACTACAGAGAGACAGGCAGTAGAGACAGATTGGAAAGACAGAAGCCTGGGATAACTTCTCTTATCCTTGAGGGGAGAGGCTGGTATGATTAGATGTGCCACTACGCTATTTAAAGTTCTACCAATACGGGCATCTGGGTGGCTCCCTCCGTTAAGCATCTGCCTTCATCCAGGGATTCAGCCCAGCACCAAGTTCCCTGCTCAGTGCGGTGTCTCCTCCCTCTGCCCTGCCCCTGCTCCTGCGCTCTCTCTCAAATAAATAGATTCTTTAAAAAACAAAGGTCTACCAGTATTATCTCCACTTCATAAAATGGATTAGGTAACACTTGAGAGTAACATCAGAAAGATGGCAGAATAGAAAACTCCAGGTCCTCACTACCCCCATGGAGGTTCCAAGTTAACAGTATATGGACCAACTTGCCTTTGGGAGAACTCCACAGTTTGCAGCACGCCAGGTGAGTACAAAGTCAAGAAAGCCACACCGAAGTGAGAAAGGAAGTTCACTCCATGTACCCAGCTTAGCTCCCATCCACAGAGCAAAGCACTGTGCAACTGAGGAAAAACTCCCCACTTCTAGCTTCTCCCATGGGAGGCAAGCAGAAGAACAGAATATCCAGTATTCTGGCTTTACAAGAGGGCTGCCCAACTCTCACCTGACTCAGAATGCTGAAAGGAATGGCAGGATACTTTGGGGGCTGCTGAGAACAAAGGTGAGTGTGGTGGCCTATTAGAGCACCGGACTCTGCAGTGCCCCAGACAGATACCAGGTACAGCAAGAGGTCATGGCAACTGGAGAACAGGGGTAGACCTCTTTAACTATAACATGGAGAACACTAGGAGAAGGAGAGGAAAAATGAATTGGGGGGAATCAGGAGGGAGACGAAGCATGAGAGACTGTGGACTCAGAGAAGGAGGGAAGGGGGTTGGAGGGTTGGGGAGCCTGGTGGCGGGTATTAAGGAGGGCACGGATTGGATGGAGCACTGGGTGTGGTGCATAAACAATGAATCTTGGAACACTGAAAAAAAAATTAAATTAAGATGTTAAAAAAAAAAAAAGAAAGAAAATTTCACACACAAAGCTAGAGAACAATCATCCTCAGAAAAGGTTTGAAAGACCTCCAGAATCTCTATCCGAGCTGATTAGTGAAGGTCTTCCACTCAATGAAGCCAGTCCATTAAGACTGGGGAAGGCGGCTGTTTTTTCAAATGCTTGAGTTTCCAGAAAAGATCGTGAAGTATACAAAGAAACAAAGAAACACGGCCCACTCAAAGGAGCAAAATACACCTCTAGAAACCAAGCCTAAAATAAACGGATCTATGACTTATCTGACAAATAATGCAAAACAATCATCTTAAAAAAAATCCTCAATAAACTAAAAGAGAACACAGAAAGACAACTAAACAAAACCAGGAAAATGATGCATGAGCAAAAATGAGATTATGAACAAAGAGTAACCATTTAAAAAGCAAACAAACAAACAAATTCACAAGGTGAAGTAAAAATAATTGAGCTGAGAAATGTCCTAGAGAGATTCAACAGCAGACTTGAACAAGCAGAAGAATCAGAAGACTTAAACACAAGTCATGTGAAATTATGGAGTTAAGGGGAGTGAAAAGAAAAAAGAATGAAGAAAAGCGAGACAGCTTAAGGGACTTATGGGACAGCACCAAATGATCAATTGTACACATTATGGGAATGCCAAAAGCAAAGGAGAGAACGGGGCAGGTAGCCTATTTGAAGAAATAATGGCTGAAAACTTGCCAAATCTGAGAAAGGAAATAGACATCCAAATTTAAGAAGCTCAATGAATACCAAAAAAAATCTAAAGAGTCCTACAGTCAAGACAGATTATAATCAAGCCATCCCCAAGTAAAAATCTTGAAAGCAGCAAGGGAAAAAGCAATTTATCACATATAAGAGAACTCCAATGAGATTTCCAGAGAAATCTCATGGCCAGAGTGGCTGAGTGTCATACCAGCGAACAGAGGCAGAGTATTCCAATAAGGAAAACCACAAGGATCCAAGCAAGAGAACACAAAGAAACAGAGAATGTCTGAGAGGCCCCACGTTATCTGAAAATGCCCAGTACTTAGTAAGGAGCTTAACAAATTCTGTTCATAGGAATGACCAGAGCATAAGATGGGCACAGCAGATATTAGGAGAGGAGACTGGAGGACAAATGGAGACCACCAGATGGCAAATGGTTTCCTCATGCTGAGGAGTTTAGACTTTATCCTGCAGGCAGCAAGGACTCCACTTCTGAGGCCACCAAGTAACAGGTGCGGACAAACAGTTACATGTGCGCCACTGACTAAATAGCTTATTGCCACCCTTAAATGCTTTCAGACCACCTCCTATCCCCCATTTGCAACAAAGTACCCACACTCAGTGAGTTCAGTAAGCATTTGTTATGTGAATAAATTCATAAATAGTAAATTTCTTTGTAACCAAAAATATTCAACAAAGTAAATATTTCCTCTAGCTTCATCCATCTCTACAGAAAAGAGATGAGAGCCATGTCTCCTGTATGTGGATTTGGCGGGGGTGGGGGGTGTGCATATATATATATATATATATATATATATGACACATTTGCTCACACCAAGATACATACTCGAGGAAAATTATGGATCCAAAAAGCTGTGATTTGGGTAAAAAATAATTAGCATAACTCTTATTAGACCTTCTAATTCTCTAGTAGCAGGAGCCTCTACATTTCGATTGTGCATTCCATAAAAGGAAAGCTTCTCTCTCTCACACACGCAGAATTATCCTAGCCAATCTGACATAAATAGTCTAAGCAAATAGTCAGTCTAGGCACAGCAGCTTCCACCTCTTAGATTTAAGCCTATTTAAAATGATTTGTTCATGTAAAACTATATCCTAGTGACACTAATCTTTCCTGTCTTTATTCCAGATTAGTCAGAGTAGAATTTTACAGTGATTTTAATATTTAAAAATGAAAAGTTGAGCAGTCTTACACTCTTGGGAGAGATAAACTCTTCAGTCCTCAAGGCAAGTGTAGGTGAGGGATTAATAAAAGTCTCTGTTACATCATACTCTAACCAATATTTCTTTCTGCTACTTTTGGGAGATGTAATTGCTCAGAAAAGCACTCTCCAGGCTTGCCCACATATCAGAGAATAACAGGGCAGTAAAGCGGGGTCATGCCCTCACCATCATTGAAATGAGTTTATCCTAGCATATTTTAAGCCTGCTAGAGAAGAAAATGTTGCACTTTCCCTCAATAATTCATTGACAAAGCACATCAGACATTTTCTTCTTACTACACATAGCCAAAGTAAATCCCTCATGCTAGATAAGCCTTCTTTTAAGTTCCCTGGCAAAACACAGCAGGTTGCACAAGATACAATTTAATTTCAGCTCTTAAAAAAAAAAAAGCACGAAAGAAAAGATGGACTGATGGATGGAAAGACGAATGGACAGAGCTAAAATATGAAAAGAATCTCTGGATGTTAGAATTATAGGTTTTTTTAATCTTCTCCCTTTTACTAATTTTCTATAATATGTATTACTTAGTAATCACCAAAACCAATAATAATAAGGACCTGAGGATCATTTCTATATAAATAAAAAGTGATTCTTCAAAAGGCTCTGCGATCCCAAGGACAATTCCCAGTAAAGGTACATGCTAACTTCTGACATCATTCACTTTAAATCTTGTTAAACCACCTCTTGATTTCCTTTTTCCCACACTGTGTAACCTCTGGTTTTTGTGCCTTTTGTCCTGAGACTTTCCACTGCCCCCAAGCTTCAAGTGTTTGATGTTTCACTCAAGAGACATAAAGACGATTCAGGTTTTCCTACATCTGTCTTTTATCCCTGTGAAGCCTAAAGGAAGGACCAATCACGTTTATGTTACATACCCAGGGTCACTTTCACTCTTCAACAGTGTGTATTATGTATCAGACACCGTATGATCTTCTGAGGTTGTTACCCTTAAAACATTTTCTCTTTTTTACACATGAGGATATTGTGGTAAGAAGTTGTTCGATAACTTGCCCAGGGTCATACAGTTTGGTGGATGGACATTCATTACCTACTGCTTCAAAACCCCAGTCCTGCTCCCATGTCAGTTAATGACACAGCCATCCTCCTCGTCTATGACACTAGAGACCGCAACGGGTTATAGTATTCCGTTCCTAA